ATAACACCACAATTTCTCTAAATAATTATTTTGAGCGCATATCTAATGAAATCTCAAGAATAGTCGTGCGTGAAGTCATACGCATTCCGTTCAGAAACTATTCCACTGTTTTCCGATTTCTCCGGTAAATTCGAAATTAAGCATTATTATTGAGAATCCATCCATCGAGACGTGAATTATGGCACCTGTCAGACACTAAACAACGCCATTGTGCACCTGTTATAGTTTTACACATAATAGCTTTTCTTCTTTTCACTCTTTATTTATATAAACTCAATCACATATAAATTCATTCACACATAAGAAATTAAAATGTGTAATTAGATACGATTAGCAGGTGACTCGTTCTACTTATTCTACATATACAGGAAGGCCCAAGTCTACTCAAACTTCTTAGCACATATTTATTATTTTATGCCAAATTTCATAGATCAACATTAATTTATCATTGTTGATGGAAAATGTTGGTTTTAAAAGAGAAAATCCGACAACAGTGTTTACGTGTACATGAAAATAGTTTGGATATGCAAATGTTTCTCAAAAAGTAAAAAATTGATTCGAATCGAATTTCAAATTAACTTAGAACCTAGAAACAGAAACCGGGTAGATTGCGTTGCCATAAATCACATAAAAAAGAATGTTCTGGTCCTGAAAAAGAAACTTTCAGTCTACAAGTAACGTAAAATTAAGGAAAATTCTTCTTATTTAAAGGCCAAACATTATTTTCTTAATCTACGTTTATTAGCATTCTGTAAATATTTCTAACAGTGCGAATTGTAAATTGTTATAATTAGGCGCTTGCAAAAAATAAACTCAGACAAATTAATAGACGAATCTGCTTCTTTATTGTTCACTGTGGTTTACTCAATGTCGTTTTATCTAAGTATTGTTTCTACTTGACAGAACACGTTTATGGCAAAGTACACGTATTTAAAGTCATGGTTTTTCCACAATAACTAATGTAGCCACCGACTTGAATAAGTGTCTTGGCGAAAATTTCCATAGTCGCGATTTCTTCAAAATCAGAGGTGCTGTCGAAAGTAACCAATAACGTCAATGGTGATCGATATTTACAAGAAGGAGAAAAGAAAATCCAACTGTTATTGTAAAAACACCGAGAAGGTCGTAGAAATCTCAAATAAGAAAGTTCTAAAAATCCCTTTTGTGTTAGAAATAATAAGAAAGAATTCAACCTCACCTACGCCAAGATGTAACAATTATTATTTTAAAAATATTAAACTGATCTGAGTAAAAAGTTGTGGAAGATTTTATCGAAAACAGGACTGAAATTTCTAGGCTTAGTAAGACTTATTTAATTTTTTGTAACTTGTTTTTGCCATTATTAGAAACTTAAAAGTGGTTCATTTTTTAGAAACCTAATCAGTAATCACACTTGCTATTCTACTGTTTTTTATGGGATTTTCAAATAATAGTCATTTATTATACAAGACGATAAAGAAATTGTTTATCTACGAGTGAAAAGGTTGAGTTTACGAGTGACGAAGTCACGAGTGGACTTTTTACACGAGTAGATACACAATCTTTATCGTCGTGTATAATATTTCGTTTTATTTTGTACTCACCTATCAGAATTTCTTAAATATAAACAGTAGTAAAAATTACTTTATTTCACTAGACGATAAAAGACTACTTTATCTACTGAAATTAGTTGATAAAAGCACTCTTTAACATTACATTGAGTACAAATTAAAATATTAAATTAACTATGTATCTTAAATTTTATTTCCAAACATTTTGAATAAAACTAGGCTTTTTTCTCTCAATTATTTCTGGAACACATCCAATCCTATTTGAAAATAACATAACAAAAAGTGGCAATATTTGTCTGTAATTAAGAAACTCCTATTATTCAAATTCAAATACCATTAGTATAGTGTGAGTGGGTATCCCCATCTTTGCATTTTATGCTTTAACTTAAAAAAATGTTTTTTTATTATAATATATTCAAGATGCCAAAATTTATAATAAAAAAGGTTCCTACAAAAAAAAAACCTTGTAGATATGATTCCGTGATAGTGAGAAAATAATGCATAATTAAGACCACACCCGTGTAGTGTATAAAAAAACCTCTTATAACATGATTGTAGTTAAAACTGTGCGTAGTACATTTACATTAAACAGGCAGTTAAGGTAAATACTTGATAACCACAGAAAGTGTACCATTGATGTCACAACACTATAATTCTATGATAAAAATACGTTTTTTTTACATTTTTTTACTAAAAATATAAATAATAAGTCAATAATTAGTCTTATGCCATATGTTTGTTTCCTTTTAATAAATAATATAAATATAAAAAGGAGCATTGATATTTAACGTTGAATTTTAATTACCTACTTGAAATTACGTACACAAGTGTATACAGGGTGTTAAAAAAAGATTATAAAATATTTAAGGAGGTAATATAGAGTATAGACCAAAATAAATAAAAAAGTCTTAATATCGCTCCGCAAAGTAACAGTTTCGGAGATATCGAAGGTGGAAATTTTTAGAATTCTTACAGAAGCTTCTCTTTTTTATTTGAACAAACTGCAAACAAATGTTTCACAAAAACGAATATATTGTTTTGGTCCATACTATTACCCCCTGAAATGTTTTTCAATCTTTTTTAACACCCTATATAAAATGGCGCATCAAGACTTTAATACACTATGAAAAGCTTTCTAATAAAATCCAAAAAAATAATAAAAAACTGTTACTCCACCATTTTTAAAAGTGTATATGCATTTGTTTATTTTTTAACATCAACGAAACTCATAATAATTGGTAAAAACTGAAGTTTTGTGCTAATAAATGTGTTGAAAATGCAAAGGATTTTTAATACACACAGCCAGTATAAAATTAAACCAAAAACAAATTTCGTTTATTTAATCTTATTTAAACCAAATATTTTAACATTGTTTTTTGCAAACAATTGCAATATTTTAACCAAAACATGGAAAATTCACATAATCTAAGCAAATACTTATAATACCGCTAGAAATCAAACAAATAGACAACTTTTATGAATCTGTTTATTATAGACTTTTATATCTCGAAAACAACCCGTAACAATATTTTTGTTCTAGGGATTAAAAGAGTAATTTCGTAAAGGTCAACGGTAACAATGCAAAGTTAACTTTATCGAATTTAGGATCACTACGGTTAAACAACATGAACACCAAATTAAATTACAGAAAAATTTTAGGCCCAATTTAACAACAAAACGTTGAAACAAGACGAAGTTATGTAAAAACAGACTATTTCAAAAATTCAAAACTATCAAAAAGGTGCAAAACAACTAAAAATTAAAAGTATACCAATAAAAGTTCCTTTTTTACTAAATGTATATTTATTAATAATAAAAAATCTGAAATTAAATAATTGAAGACAATGCATGTTTTTTCCAATTTGCAACATACTTCAAAAAGCCGCAACCGTAATCTAAAAACAAAAAAAAGTCAGAACTCATGCCCCAAAGAAAAAATTCAAATAAGAAAAAATACCAGGAACACGGAAAATATGTTTAAAAAATTCTATCTGTAAAAAAAATTACATATATTTTGATATTTGCATTTTTTATGTCTATTTAATGATACTGATGATCTCGTATATGTTTATTTTATACTTATTATTCAGTAAAGATACAAAAATTTTGCCAATAAAAGAGTCAAATAACATTAAACAGAGTTACAGTTTAGGATAGAGCTTTCTTGTTTTCTCTTCTAGTAGCCTGTAGCAAACATATTATTTTTAAAAATTAAATTTAGAAATCATTTTTCCAACAGAAATAAATAAAGTCAAAGTGCAAAATTTAATCTCTCTCTTCGAAATTTTTATAGATAGATTTTTTTTTACATTTTTCTATATTTTCGGTATCTTACCTTCTCTGAGGCGCGATTTTTGGTGCACCCTGTAGGTATATTATTACGACAATTTAAAATGTAGAACCTGAGCCCTCGGGGTTATAAAACATTTTTTAACAATTTTTTTATTTTCTAAAATGGTTTAGTAATTGCAAAAATTATTTGATCAGTTGAAGTGTACCAGATGAACAGAAAGTTCAAAATTTTTTGAAAAACTAATTGATGAATAATAAAATATAAAAATGTCAAGTTTCTCAAGAATAAAATTTTTCGACTTTTTTTTTTTTTGAGTTTGCAAAACTTTTAATTCTTTCAAGTAACACTGTAAAACCTTTTTTACAAAAACTATGATCTAAGGATTAGTATCTATATTTTATATAAATTTTATTGAAAAAACTTTTAACATAGGTACGTAAGTTGGCATTTTACAAAAAAAGTCGCTTAACTCAAAAACAAACAATAAATATTCACAGAAAAAAAACTTATTTTAAAGGCACATTCTTAAAAAAAAGGTTTCTTCCATACTTTATGTTTTAAAATGTGCACATTTTAAATCTTTATAATAATTACAATGTACTATAGATGGAATTTTTTAACTTTTTTGTAGTGTTTGTTGTGCTTCCTATAATAAAGAAACATATAATGCTGTTACGCAAATTTTTGAACACCTTTAGAGTACTAATATTTGAAAACATAAACGAATACGAATGGAATTTTTTCTGAATTAATTGTAATTAACCAAATATCCACGTAACTAGAGCACTGCCAAATAATGCGAATTATTATTTTTATAGCTTTAAAAAACATTTACATATTTTCCGCATTTTTATGTAGAAAGTATTTGGTTAATTTAAAAAAAAAATGAAAATTCATTAGCAAAAGTAGCCAAATTAGCAGAAAGTCAAATCGTCTATTAAAAAAATCCAAAATAAGAATTTCGAAAAAAATCCAAAATCGTCACCATTGTCCGTTAATTCCGTGCCTAACCGGAGGAAACGTCCGTCTCATATCCGGATTCCGGGCAGCCGGACGCGACCTTGACGCTGTCGGAGTCTAGAGACGGTCGCCTGAAACCCCCGCCATAGCACCGTAGGCACTCTCTTTAAAACCTAGTGGTGGAGCACAAGGTTTTATAAAGTCGGGTGAACGCTTGCGGTTGTGGTAAACGCGCTGTGGTAAAAATAGGGCAGTGCAAAAGAGTGATTGTGCGAGAACGGACGGACTGTTTGGTTAGTGTTTGCTTGTATCATGGACGGGACACAACGGTACCTTCTGATCGCGACCGCGGCACTCTTCCTCTTCTTCGACATCTGCCATGGAGTGCGAGCACCAGGCGCCAAGAAGAAAGGTGAGTGCTGCGAAAGGAATACACGACGTGTGAATAGTGAGACAGTGATGCCAGTGGCGGCCCTTTTCGGATGTGCTTTACATCATTTGCCATTTCCGGGTCCCGTTATTACACAAAAAACCAACATTAATTACAGTCTAACGGGGCTCTACCGTTAATTAATCACATCATTACAACGTTTCTTAGCACAGACATAAACTGCTCAAACTAGCAAAATGTTTCTATTACCACCTGCTCAAATCTGAATTAATTGGTTTTATGCAACAATATTAATTATTAAATTTATAATACAGGCCACAGCTCATAATGTACCCAAACACAGTTAATTCATTACTGCAAGTACAAAATTTAACAATTAATATTATGTACACAAGTTTGGTAAGTACAATTTTTTGTTTCTGACAAACCTATTTTGCAAAAACCACTCACAATTTTACTGTAAATACTCCCAAACAAAATTTAACAGACATTCATTCAAACGGTGTTGCCAACAGAGTGGTTTAAAACTAACAAACTCAAAATGAAAATAATGAATGATCAAACACGTCCGATTATTTGTTCAAAACCTTGCATATTTAACAAGTTAACTAAGAAATTGAAAACTACAAATTTTGGTTTTTTTGGGAATTTTTGAAAATGGATACTTCTAATTGCAACCAAATATATACAGTGTTTTTTTCGGGTCGGCGCAAAAATAAATAGTTCTAAATGATTATTATTTTTTTTTTTAATAAAACGATAGAGGATTATGTAGACTACAATTTGATGCTTTAACATTGTTGAGAACTTTTAGCGTGATTCGTGATTTTTTCTAATGGTAACTGTGAAAATTTAATAATGTAAAAGTTGATAGATTTTGTAGTTTTTGAGTAATTAACATTTTAATATTGAAAATTGGGAATTTTGGTAATTTATGGCCAAGTTTGGGATGATGACCTTTATCTTTTGTCAAGAAATTCTGGCCTGATCACAAGTTACCGCAAATAAATTATTTCAAATTTCAGATTTTCAATATTAAAATGGTTCATTATTCAACTTCATCATTATTCTATTTTCACACACTATTGCCACAGAAAAAAAAAAAAAACAAAAAATTTTATCATGTAGGTAGAAAATATTCCAGTTAACTGATTTTTTTCTCCAAATAAATTTTTAAGGTCTCACTGCTACACGCTAAAAATTTTGTACAATACCAAAACATTAAATTGAAGTGTATTTAATCTATCGTTTTCTCTATCAAAATTCTTTTTTAATCAATTAGAAATATTATTTTTGCGTCGGCCCTAAAACTTGGGACACCCTGTACAAGAAAAAAAAATAATTGAGGATATTCCTTCAGGCTGACTAATAAGTATTAATATGTTATTTTCTATAATCATATCCTTCACAATTTCTCTTAAGCAAAAGTTTAAACTAAGCCTTTAAATAAACAAACACCACGAGGAAAATTTGAAAGTGTTAAAAATTCAGCCTGGAGCCGATTACTGTCGACTCTTGGAATATTTAACTCCAGTTACTAATTGTCCCAAAAATACATATGATGTCAAGTTCAACTAGCTTTTTGAGAGTGTAAATCAATTAAATGTTTTTAATTAACAGCATGTCAAAATAAATTCCAAATCGTTAAAACTAATTAATAAAAATCAATTCGATCCAGTTTGGCTTACATAAAACGAATGAATTCTAGTGATAATCTCCTATTGCATTTAGAAAAGTAGGTGAAAAGAGTAGTAAAGTCAAGTGAATTTAAGTCTCCAACCGTTAGGATTGTATAACTCCGGTAACCTCGTTCCGGTGATCTCGTCTGCTGATCAAGACTGTAAAGCCAACAACGAAAGTGAATTTTATTTATTTTGAAAAATTTTTGCAATCTACAGAGATAATATAATTGCGAGCAAAAAATAATTATTCTTAGCGGGACACCACAATTATATGTATTGATAAGCAAGCACCTAATTAGGCATACTACAGAACCAGGAAAATTTATGTTGTGATAAGACATTTCTTTACAATTATAATTTATTTTATTATCCTTCTTATCAACTCTAATATCTACTTACTTACTTATAATCTAACTTAAATATTCAAGAATAAATAAAAATTAATAAATTTGCCTCTATGACGAAGTATTTGTGTGAGTCACCCTGTATAACCAGTTTTGTGCTCAAATAATAACAAAATCATCGCAAACATAAATAAAATACGTCGATCCTTGACAAAACTTTCTGTTTCGGGTCCTATTTACCTACATTTTATATACGGAAGTTCTCTTTAAGTATGTATTCACGAATTACACGCATTTTACTACAAAAAACATAAGCAAACTTATGTCCCATTAACTTAGCAAAAAAACTACACAATAAACTTTTAGAGTTTGAGTTGCAAGATTTTAATGATCAGTGAGGACACAAGCTAATGAAGATACAAAGAATGATTGTCAATTGGAAAGGAAGCTCTACACCTAAAAAAATGCGATATTTTTGTTTCTTAATTTTCGCTCACTTTTACTCGAAAACCAATAGAGCTTTCGGATGAGTTGAATTGAATAAAGTCGACCTTGTAATAAAATCGTTGCGCTTTTTGACTGTCACACTCTGAATAAAGTTGTGAAGTACTCCAAACACAGTTTCAAAATCTGATGCATCTATAATATTTTACACGAATCAAAACAAAATGGAAAGTTTTTCGAATTCTGTGAAAATGAATGTATAGGAAATGAGTTTAAGAAAATCTTGCATAACCGAAGTGCGGTGACTATGGTGCATGGTATGCACATTGCTTGTATGATAACTGGTTTGTGTTGAAAATTTGTGCTGAAATCAGGCTGAAAAATCGTTTCCGGTGTCGCTGAAACAAAAATTCGTCAAGTTGGTCGTAGAAAAAAATATAATTTCTTCCTCATTCCAAGAGTGCATTTACAGCCTCATCGTGTTCCTTACTGCTTCATTGCCATAAAAGTAAATTATGTAAAATAAGTTCCTCTTGCATCAACATTTTGCCTTGCTTTCAACTTATTTTTATTTTAAGTTATTGGTAGAATTTTTGTGTCCGTAGAGAAAGTAAAATTTTTCTCTCCAAATCATGTGCTAATAAAAAACCTACTTGCATGTTTTCGCACTCTTTGTTCGAAAAACTTTTACCACTTACAGGTTTAATATCCCAAAACCGCAATAATTTTCGTCTTGCTTCAGCAAACTTCCTTTTGTGCATAAAATTTTAATACACACGGAAAAAGTAGTGCAATAACAAGATCACAATGTGAAAGTCTTTTGGTCAAATCAAACGGTCCACATGATGATACCTAATGGCAGAGAAAGTTGACACGACCATCAACAGTGTTATCAGAAGATGTTATACGAAGAAAAATCGCTGACGACAGCCGCTGTTTTCCAAGCTTCAACTCTTGCAATAAATCACTGCTTTGCTTTACAATACTAATAACTGGTTAGGATCTTAATCTTTGCATCTAGAAACCCCGCGAAAGTCGTCGAATGCAAAAATAAACAAAACCAACCGTTCATTACAATAATTACTAAATTAGACCGTTTAGCAAAAGTGCTTTTTGAAAGCCAAGGACACTCGCTTGTTTTCTGCGATTTCCTTACATTTTCATTGGGAGATCCGGAGAGTGCGACCATAGGTCAAGGCAGGTGCTGAGTGATTTTCAACGTGCAGTATAATAAAAAGAGCTCGTAAATACAAGTCAAAGTTCAAATACTGACACACCCATTACGACAAAGCTTTCTAGAGTTTGCAAAAACTTAAGCTTTATATGGCAATGCTAATTTCGAAATTGTTTATTGTCAATTCGACACGGAAACCAAAATAGGCAGAATAATTAATAAAATTAGCTTTGGCTATATAATCTTGAAAATTCTACTTTAAATTATTTTTATTTTTTTTTACAAACTACAAATTTTCTTGAGTTCAAAAACACAGTGTTATTGAAAGTACAAACATAATTTTTTGTTTAATTGTATAACTATGTACATATTTCTAACTTTTTTACGAGATGAAGAGTTTCATTATTCCAGAATCGTGTTCAATATTTTTTTTTAGATAACAATCCACATTTTTTAGTTCAAATTATTATAACTTGTCACTAAAATAAATATTTCTCATCAAACGAAATCCTCTATGAAAAACAATCTCAGATATTTTTTTTGGCATTTTAAAATTTATTGGTGATAAAAATTCGAGAAGGTGATAGATCTTTCATTTGGTAACTAGAAAACAAAATTAATTCGTGACCGATAAATTCTCCCATTATTTTTCTATCTAAACATAATTTATAAATTCATGACAGATGGAGAGTTTTGCATAAATTTGCAGATAACCGTTTTGAAACAGTTTGGTGTTGAAAAGGTTGGTGATAGATCTTTCATTTGGTAACTAAAAACTAAAAAAATAAATTCTCCCATTTTTATGGGCAAAATGCTATAATAGGAGTACCATAGGTACTACTATATTTTGCAAAATTTTAAAAATAAATGCTTTGATCTTCCAACAGTTTTTTTTTGTAATAATAAAACAGAAACAATTTACAAGTTGGTAATTTTTAAATAATTAATGGGATTTATTAACGGGATTAATGGGACTTGTTACATATTTCAAAACATTTTAGTTGGCCTAAAATTCAAAAACCATTATTTCGAGAATTTCAAAAATCAGGTGAAGGATTATAATTTTTTGTGTTGTACTTTTCTGCAACTTTGTTTCCTGATCGTTTTGCTGTTCTACCTTATTAACAAAGAATAAAATGCGGTAATTAATTCACTGATATTAATTAACAATAAACTGTCAGTTTTATTATAATAAACATTCCATTCTTTTTTACAAGTGAAAGTACAAATACCAAATAATACTTGGATTTTGTATCAGATCCCATTTGTTCGAATGAGTATAGTTCGTTACATAATTGAATTAGAACAAAGTCATGCAGATTATAACAGCAAACCCCACCCTCGCCTCTCGAAAATAATTCCAACTTTCAATATTGA